CCCTCTAGGGTAATTCCTACAGGCAAGGTCTATCACTCCCAAGTTAATAAAGTTATAAACTGTTGTATTATCTTAACTGAACTGCCCAGAAAAGGATATAGTTGCTAAATAGTTAAAGCTACTATACTTCCCTCTTGGACACCGCTATAAACCTGTAAAAGATCTCTGTAGCCATGTTATTGTTATAGTAAGGAGTTAAAGAAGGCCTCTCTACTGTAATAGTATTATAATTTTTAATATTATGTATACAAATATTTAAATGAAGGTTATATAAAGATTGTATAAATGTAGATATTTGTGTTATAATATGACTATTAAGAAATAAGTCAGATAAAATAGGAGTAAAATTAGAGAAACTTGATCTGAAAAATTTTATAATTTAATAAATAATAATTATAATATTAATTAATTAATTTAATAAATATAACTTAATACAAAATATTTAAAAATATTATTAAATAAATATAATTTAGTAATAATAAAACTAATAATATTAAAAATAGATAATTCTTAGTTATTATATTCAAATATAAAAAATTAATTTTTTTAATAAATTATAATATATAACAATTAAATTTTTAGTTTTATTATTATTTTCTGACAAATTTGCAAATATAAAGTATCTTAAAAAAATATTATATAATATTAATTCTAATTTTTATTTTTATTTTTTACTTTAATAATTATAGATGTGATAATTTAGTGAAATAAATAAAAAATATAATAACTTAGTAAAATAAATAAATTATTAATCTTCCAAATAGCAGGTTATAAATTCAAAACTTACTAATAGTAAATATTTAAATAATTATTTGTATTATAACAACTGTTTTTTGTTAATTAGTTAAGATAAAATACTTATAACTATAATTATATTAATATAACTAACAGATTATAAGATATTAGTATAATTTTGATTTTATAAAAAAATACAAACTAGTACTAAGTAATATAAATTTAAAATAAGTTCTTGTGATTATATAAATTTGTAAAACTAAAAACAAAAACTTATTTGAAAAGATTTAAATAAAAAAGTAATACAGATTCTTAATAATATTATTATAAAAACTTGATAAAAAAACAGATACTAATATAAAAAAACTATACAAACAAGAACCTTCAGATGAAAAATATTACCAATCAGACTATCAAAATCAAATTAATAAAAAAGAATATTAGGTTAAACTTAATATATAAAAGCAAATTATAGTTTTTTAGACTATTTAGATTAAAAAACTTAAGACAAAGCAGAAGTATACTAAAAATATTAAAAATATATTATAAAGTTAATATTGAAGTTTAAGTAAACTCTACAAAAACATAATTTTATTAATATTTTATAAAATAGATAAGTTAATTAAAGCCTTGCAATTAAATAGCATTTATATATATAGAAACTTTAATATTACTTGTTTGGTATAATATAAAACCAAAATATTTAAATAGATAATTTTTTAGTAGATTACAAATATGAAATTTAGTGTAAAATTTTCATATGAACTACTTAAATAGATAATTAAAAGTTGTATAAATAACTAGTTATATTCTTATCCTTATACAAGTTATATATATATATATATAATTAAAAAATACAATAAAGATAATAGTTACTTCTAATATTAATTTTAGTAAAAACAAAATAAAAATAAAAATAAATAAATAAAAGTAACAACTTTTTTTGTAATTATATTTTGAATAACCACATCTATATATACTAGAGATGGGCAAAGTAATTTATTAAGTAATAATTACTTATAATTTATCTTTTATTAAATATTATATAATTATTACATTACTATTATTTATTATATATATATGTATAGATAAATCATATGGTAAATTAATAAAAAAACTTTCAAAGCTATTGTATATAACTGAAATAGACTTTAAATAAATAAATAATTAATTTGTAGTAATAAGTACCTATGATAGAATAATTATCTAAACAAATATTTTATTTTATATCATTATTATATATTAAACAATTTAGCAATTTAAATAAATAAAATTTTATTAATACTGTAAAAAAATTGAAACTTGTTTATTATGTCAAATTGGCCTTTACCAAGTTCAGAATTTAATATATTCTTCATATTCTTTCAACTCAAAATTCTGCTGATTATCCACTTGGCCCTCTTTGGCAAGCTTTTCATCTAGTTCAAACTAATAAAAAACCAAAAACAAAATGCAGTTTTTGTAGTTCTGATAAACCTATATTAAATACTGCAACAGTTATAAGTTTTCATATTAAACAATATATAAAAATTTTTTTAAAAGTTCATATATATCTTCTTGATGCCTATGCAATTCAACAAAAAACAATAGTAAGAGAATTAATTTCTATACAAAATTAATAACTTGGCATTTCATTAAATAAATCAATTACACCTTTTATGTCAGCTTTGAATTGTTTAATTATTTCTATATAAGTAAATCATTTTTTTTATTACTACTACCAGTTGATATAAATAAATCTAATAATTTATTATTAAAAGCTATAATAGAAGGTAGAGCTTCTCTTTCTTTCATAGAATCAAAAAAATTTAAACAATTTGTTTATTCAATTAATACACATTATTATGTTCTAGCAAGAAAGCAACTTTCAAATAAAATTCTTGATAATGTTTATAAAAAAGTTCAAAAATTAATTTATCAATTTATTTGCAAGTCTAATTAAATTTCTATTGTGATAAATGGATGAACAAACATTTATCAAAATCATATTATAAATTTCATAATAATTGAAAAAAATTGACAAGTTAAGTTTGTAAAAATTAAGGATACTTTTAGTAAAAGTCAAAATTCAATGGTTGTTTTTAAAGATTTAGAGAATACTGTAATTCAAGTTAGCATTAAAAAAATTAATGCAATTATTACTGATGAAGCAGCTAATTATATTTGTATGAAGGCAATGTTTAATTAACAATATTCAAAAATTTTATATTTGCTATATACTGTGTATAAACTGAATTTGTTAGTTAGAGATATGTTAAAATATATATATATAAAATCAATTATTAGTTCAACTATAAAAATTATTTCTTATTTTCTAAAAAGCATTCAAGCTATTTAATACATTCATGCTTACACAAATAATTATATATTTCAATTTATACTTTCTACATTTACACAATGTAATTCTTTTTTTATGTTTCTACAACAAGTACAAAATAATGAACACTATTTAAAAGATGCAGCATATGAAATAAAATTATGATTAGATAAATATATTATATCAATTCTTAAAAACAATGTATTTGGAATCATTTATGAAATATTATTTATATATTAAAATTGTATTCACATATTCTAATTATTTTAGAATCTCAACATGTTACTTTTGTAGAAATTATTTATTTATAAGCTTGAATGCAAATAACTATTAATATTATTGATAATAACACTTTTCAACAATATATTAATGCATAAATTCAATATCAATAGAATTAAATGTATAGCTTAGTTTTTCTTATATGTTAGTCACTTTATTCAAAATATATGCTTATACAAACTATTTATCTAGAGCTTGCGACTTTTATTAAAAAGAAAACTAGTCTTTTATTTGAATAATTTTTTTCAAATAAAGATATTAAAATGTTTCAAATACAATTAATTGATTGGAATAATAAGGCTTATTTTTTTAATTTTGAAGGTAATTAGAATGATTATTTTATTAAGAATCCAGTGTATTTTTAGAATAATTTTCAAAATGAAATTCCTAAATTAGCACTTTTTGCTTCTCAAATTATGAGTATATCATCAACATCAGTTGATAGTGAATAGTTTTGGTTAGTAATTTCAAATATATATACACTAAAACAGAATAGATTAACAAATGACTATGCATTTAAATTAACATGCATTTAATGACACATGGCTCAAAAAAAAAATTTTTTTTAAGCAAAAAGAAATTGATAATCTTAATCAAATTTTTCAACAAGATATTACTATATTTAATTCTAAGTTAAGTAAAAAAAAAAATTCATCTATTAATGTTTTATCTATTAATAGTAAAATAGGTAATTTAGAAGAGAATTATGAAGATAAGTCTCAAAATTTGGAAGAATCTAAAAACTCTAAAAATCCTGAAGAAGAAATAATGAAAATAATTGAAAATATCGATATATTAGATTCTAACGATCAAAATGCATATTGTAAAGTTGCAAGTGAATATAGTCAAGTTGTAAGCTATGATGAGAATATATTAGAAAATTGGTTGCTTTTTGATAAATTAGATAATATTTAATTTAACTATGTTTTGTTTTGCTATGTAATAAAAATTATATTTGCTGCTAAAAATAAAAACAGCATAAGTATCACTTATTATTACTTAATGCAAAAAATCTTATGTAATATTTATTAAAATTAAGTAAGAATACATAGTGTTTATAACCCATTCCTAATGTACACTAATAAATATGTCTAATAAATTTAATTAAGTTGTATTTGTTATTTTATTTGTTATTTTATTTGTTTTTGTATTATTTGTTAATTCTTAGATTTTATGTTTAATAAAATTTCTAATATTATTATAACCAATCCCAATAAATGCAATATTATTATTATCTTGCTTTATTCCTTGATCAGCATATATAATTAGCATTTTTCTTCTCTAATTATAATTCTATTTATATTTGTTGCATGTTTGTGATATTTATTATTTCAAAAAAATTGGTCATCCAGTCTTACAGTTACTGCAGAATTTCATTTGTAAAATGTAGATTTGGTGTATAGATAAAATTGAATATATAATTTCAAGTTTAATAGAAGATTCAATTTTCTAATAAATTTTATTTGTATTTTGCCTATTGCAGCAGATATTTATAAAACATACACACTATTGTGAAAGATTAGGTAGGTAATTGTTCATAACGCTTAATGAAAATAGTGTTCAGATTCACGTGATTTAGGGATTCTTTATTGTTTGAACAATGAAAAATCCCTGAAATCGCATAAGTCTGAACACCTTGAATGATTGTTCACAATGTTGATGAAAAGACAATAAATACCACAGGGTTCCTCTATTCGTAACATCTAAAATAATACTATTTTTAGGTGATGTATTAAACACGCGACTTTTTTTTTGTACTTACAGGTACGTATGTGGTATATATTAAATTAACAATTTTTATTGTGCTGAGAGTTTATTGAACGAAGGCAAATGTAATATGACGACTAGCTCAATTATGCTAGGTTTATTGAAGTACTATGGCGGCTAGCTCAATTTAAACAAAAAAAAATTGCATAGAAATCACATATGACCGTTTTATGCACAATACTTAACATTTTAAATAATCGATTACTAACGTAGCAAGTTGAATATTGATCGAGCTAACCAAATCCACACATTCACATAATTACAGAATTCAAAAGCGAAAAGGTCTTTTAAAACAAATGTATTAATTGTTTAGGTGTGGAGTGTCTATTACATGCAACCTAATTTTATAGAGGACTTATTTATTTCGCGAAAGATTAGTAAACACGAAAAGTACCAAAAAATTTTTCTTTGAAATTAATTCACATAATAAACCAGTTTCAAAAAATGACCCTCAATCGAAATACTTATGATGGTGGTGAGTTAAAGAAAGAATAAACTACATACTACGATTCTCTACGAACGTCTAATTAACAGTGTACGATGTATGATTTTTATAGACTCATTTGTGGAAAATTATAAGACTCATGACAGAGTTTAATAAAATTAAAACCAGTTTGTTAAAGTCTTTTATTGAACTTTAATTACGAGTATCAATTACTCGTGAAAACAAATTACATAATTTGATTTATGGAAAATTATGATTATAAAGAAAGAAAATAAACTTCATAACTATCAATTTGGTTTTACGGGCCTAGAGTTATGTAATTTATTGAGTTGTTTTATGCAAAAGAGGAATATAGTTCAAGTTTTAAGAGACTTTACGACAATTGTCATTTTTTACTAACAATAAAGGGTTATCATCTTTTCTATGTAAAATTGTCTTTTAAGAAAATAAAAAAAAAGGTATCGTTTTTTACATGCAACGTCGAAATTTACCTTGCTGGGCTATGGCCCTACGCGAACCCAAGAAGATCACGCAACTAACCTTTTATGTCCGTGTACTGTGGTTGTAGCACGGATCACTTTTGGGGTTTCCCTGGCGAACTCTGTTTTCAACAACTCTTAAACAAGAAATTTCAACACAAACATAAAAAAATTATACATTAAATACAATAACTTGTATTAAAATTTATTTTATTTATTGAAAATAATGCCATTAATACAAGATTTTTAAATTATTACTGTCTTTGAAATGGCTAACATTAAAAAAAGTATTCAATATTGTATATGTTGTAAGTGGAAACAGGATTCGGAATTTTTATATAAAACCATCATATATGCACCCTATCTAGAAAATTCCAAATTCCATTCCCACTTACGGCATATATTGGTTTAAAGCAAAAAATTTTTAATATCGATATCGAATATACTTCAATAAAGTACTCGAAAAAATTGGTTTACTAAAGTATTAAAAAAATTTTTTTTTGTGTGCCAGCTATTCTAAAAACGGTAATACATAATAATATGTAACATTCAAAGAACCTTATCACATGCCTAATCTCTTTGTAATACGTATCTCATGTCGATATTTAAGAATTTGTTTGATTAACTAAAAATTTTTTTTTAAGTTTGTAAAAATATTAGTTAGCAAAAACAATGTGCTAATGCAATACTAGGAAAAAATAAAGAGAATTCGAATAAGCAATTGTCGTTATGATAAAAAGCAGCTGCAATAATGGACATTGCATGTATAATATTAAAGTACACTTTAAAACCCCCATGAAATTGACTGTATTCAAGAGAATAATAATATGCAAAGAATATCGTACAAATTAAATCATCAGCGTGTGGGGTTGAGATAGTAATTCATGTAACGGTAATCAAAACTTTATGTTAGTGTTGAGAGCTTGAGATTCAATCTTGATCATGTCGCGAGAGTATCACAACATTCTATAAACATCCTGATCCAAAAAAATTCTTGATCAAAAATTACCAAATTCATTTCTATCATTAACATTCCGATCCTTCCTATCCTTTCCGAACAAAGATATCAACTTTAATACCTGTTCCTCGCGGGTACTGCATGTATACTGCATGAATATTCCGAAAATAGTAGACACGTAACCTATCATTATCATTACGTTATTGTTGTTTATTGTTATATTATTGTTATATATTATTGTTATCGTTATATATATTATTGTCATATAATTGTTGTGTACAGTATTATTATTCAGTTTTTATTTCATCAGAAGATTCAGTAAATTTAGAATTCTAGCATTATGCATCTGTTTTAATAAAAATCTGTTCTTTGGGCGTTTCGTGAGAGATCGAAATTTGAGAATCACTTCGATTTGAAGTTTTCTTTGTACTAAAAAGTGATTTCTTCGAGACATCACAAGAATCCAACTATCCATATCTATGTTTGTATTCTTGATTTAAGGATTAATTATTTATACATGCATGGGAATGCTTAAGTGATTGTTAATTACATGGGTAACTCGACTTCCTTATCTTTGTATCTACTAAACTATCACTATTACAAAATGATTTCATTGTTCTTTGATTTTTCGTTTTGTGTAATTGTATGACTCGCCCGAGATAGAATCGATATTCGGTTACACGATCTATAAAACCAGAAAATTATTCTGGTTTTTCTTAAACAATGCCGAATATTGTTGTAAAGTTCGGCGTCCGTGACTGCATTATTATCTAAAAAATTACAAAAAAAAAAAAAAAAAAAAAAATTCTTCTTGTTAAATAACCTGTACTGCGCTACAAATTCTTGTCATTATTCTTAAATAGACCTTCTCTTTCTATTACAAAAGTATAGAATTAAATATTCAATAATGCCTTATAATAATTATCAACTAAACGATTTACAGCGAAAAGCTTTGACCAATCTATTCGCACATCTTCAACATTTTAACCAAGAATTTTCCAAGTGTAATTTTCTTAAAAATGACAATTCTCTCTTTTTGAGAAACATGAAAACAACTGCCATTAATCTTGGCTTACATTATGTTCATCAAAAAAATGTTGTGATTGGTGATGAGATTTTTAAAAAAGCTGTTAAAGGCCATAAAGATTGGTATGAAGTGAACAAGCGATGGATCATTTGTTTTGTAATTTTGGCAAAGAGTTCGGTTGATAAGTGTTCATCACATGCTTGTGTGTCTCCCGTAGAAGAGACTAAAAAAGGCGACGATTGGAAAAAAAATGGGTTTTCGGATAGCGTGGGAAAGGGTCAATCTTTTACTTCTACGAAGGTAAAGAAAGCCCTACAAAAAGTTTCTGATGATCAGATTATTAAACCACCAAAGAAGTTAGATGCAGATAAAAAATTTGTGCCAATTCAAAAAAATAAATTTACAAAAAAGCGCTCCAAGAATTTGTAAGTAATTTTATTCAATTATATCAATTCATCAAATTTTAAGATACTAAATTATTCTAATTTTTCTAATTTATTTGCAAATATAGGTCTCAGCCTTCAACATTACAATCTATTATACGCTCTTGTCTATTTTTTACATTAATTCCATCAATAATTATAATTTTAATTATTTGTTTCATTTATCTTGTGGGAATAGGATCTTCATAAATTATTTGATTAATCATTTATTCATTTCCTTATCATTGTAGTTTTTTTTTCGATTAACATACTCATGTGCATTAGGAATTGGTTTGGGGAAAAATAAGGATAATTTACAATACGACTTTTAATCCATTCTGTACATAAATTCGAATTTGACCTTTTTTCAAAAATTGTCATTTATTATATATTTATACATTTTTAGCAATGCCTTATTCGGTTGTTCACATATTTATTTTTTACTATAGGAACTTTGTAAATCTTGTAAATAAATTCCAAAAATGAACATTAAATCTTTTTCAAAAATATTTATGTGCTTGAATAGACTGTTTCATGAATTCTATGGTTTTTTTTTTGATTGATAAAAATCTACGCGTAAATCATGTGAAAAAAAATCACTTTACCTTATAGTAAATTTATACTACAGGAAAATGAGAAATCAAAATTTGCACAAAATTAAGAATTGTTATTGTCGACTATGGTGATGGAAAAAAACGTAAACGCAAATGAAACGCAGAATTGACGTATTTAAAATAGGTTAAGTAATACTAAATTTTTTCTTAACCTCCCAATTTCAAATTTATTTATGTGCGCAACTACTTATCGATTTGCGCAT